ACAATGACATTTCAGCAAAATGGACTCGCCTGTTGCAACATTTTTTTACTTTGATTTTCAGGGTGTCTTTGAATTCAGTCCTCTGTAGGTCGATCATTTTCATTTCCATCAAACGATGGGGCGTCCTTACGTTCCTCACCCATCACCCCGTCCATATCAGGATAGATATCCAACAGATTTTCCCTATTGAGAGCTGATTTCAAAGTGTTCCTTTTTCTTGAGCAGTGTATTTAATTTGCTTCATACAGACTTGTACATTTCTAGGCCTCACATCTCTGAACTTTTCTCTGTCCTCCTCCCAGTGTCCACCTATCTGTACGGAACTGTCCAGCTACCGTGCTCCTTCCCCTTTGTACAAGGACCGGAAGGCCTGACAGTGGTTTGGGAAAAGGTTGGATCTGATGGAAGCAAATTGCTGGTTTACAAGTTCATGGGCGGCAAAGACCTTCTCAGTGACCAGGATTCGCAGTTCAGAGGGCGCACAGAACTCTCCAAAAAGTTTATGCTGGGGAACCTGAACCTGACTCTGAGGGACGTGACCTTCCAGGATGAGGGACATATATCTGCAAGGCCGCCCATAAGAAGGGCGATGGAGATCTGACATTGAACCTGGCGATCAGCGGTAAGGACACACAGTACATAATGGCTTTGGTTTTCCTCCTAAATTCCATGCATGCCAACAGTCCCAGATGTGCCAGGATAGTCCCATTTCTTGGTCCTCTGTCCTGCTGATGCTGTGTCCTGGACCATGTCCACGGATCACAGCGTCACCCCTATTTAGGTTGATGCTAACTAAAAAAGAATAGCTGAGGGGGGCCACCCGCTCACAGCCCCAGGGCCCTCCATGAATGTTTTTTTATTTAGAGGCAGGGTCTGAGTTAGATTAGGTGGGCAGTCCCTGAATATTTGGAGGTGGGGTGTGGGTGAGACCAACCCATATAGTGAGTGTGATTTGAGCATGTCCACCCAGAAAAGTGGGTGGACAAAAGGGGGACAGTAGGTGGGGTTAACAGTATGCTGGGATACGGGACTATGATGTTGGGAGGCAGGGCTGCTGTTAGAAATCACAGGGCCCCATACAGCCAACCTGACAGCCCCCCCTCCCCCCAAAAAACTGTTTACTATGCTGCTTTTATGATGAACACAGTAATTGGTACTGATCCCTCAATGTGTTCATTCAGGAAAGGAAGGGAGCTGGTAAATGTGACATATTTACCAGACCCTTCTCCCACTCTCCTTCCTGAAGGACCCAGAGGGGTCTGGGGAACAGGGAGAAAAGTATGGTGGACAGGGAGAGTGATGGGTGTAGCGGGGGGGGGGGGCAATTACTGGAACCGATCTCCTGTATGGAGGAGAAGCAGCTTTCAGCTGCTGCAGAGAGAGAGCCATACAGGGGATTGGTTCCAGTAACTTTCCCCTGTTATAAACGGATTATCCTCCCTGCCAAAATCCAATTCTCCCAGCTGCCTGTGCCCCCCCTGCTGGCCTGTGCCCAGTAAAGGAGGACTGGTGGTACCCCCCTTGTCCTGGTGCTGTTGGGAGGAATGATGGGCAATTTTAGCAGGTTTTCTTTTGGCAAATCTAAGTAATTTCTGAGCTATAAAGTTTAGTCAGACTCATTTTAACCCCTTAGCAGCCATAGTGCATCTGACAAGCTGTCTGGTGGTAACGACTAGGTGGCAGTATGGCCACCAGATCACTTCCACAAACCCCTGGTAATATTCTCCTGTGTGATAAAAAATAAGTGTAGCACCCTCCTAGTCAGCTAGGGGGAGCTAGACTCTAATTTGGGGGCTGAATAGCAGCCTGGGTGTGATAGCTAGCGGGGAATCAAATTGCAGTCAGAGCTGAGAGGCTTTGAAGACCAGCTCTCTGGAATTGTCCGCTGCTCTAGATCTTTGGAGAAAGATTTAGAAGCAGTGGGTGGATCTGAGGAGTGGCTGGTCTGTACTCTTAGAGCAGTGGTTCTCAACCTTCCTAATGCCGTGACCCTTTAATACAGTTCTTCATGTTGTGGTGACCCCCAACCATAAAATTATTTCCCCAGTAATTATAATTCATGAGTGTCGTTTTACCTCCAATACTGCTGCTTTCATCACAGCAGCTGCTTGCTACACAGTAGCTGCTCTTTACACATCAGAAATATGTGTTTTCTGATGGTCTTAGGGGACCCCTGTGAAAGGGTCGTTCGACCCCCAAAGGGGTCGCGACCCACAGGTTGAGAACCACTGTCTTAGAGGATCCTGGCCAATCCCCAACAGGAGGCTTGGCAAGGGACCAGGACAAACGTTTGAGAGTAAAAGAGCCTGCTCAACTGCAAGAGAGTTTAGGTGTAAGATGGAGTGAGAGGCTGAGATGCAGGAGCCTGTGAGGGGTCCCGAAGGAGAGGGGCCTACCTACAGTCTGGATCTGGAAAGGAAGATTGCTAAACCTCACCAGTCCCCTGAGAGAGAACCACCTGTAGAACCAGGAAAGGAGCCAGCCCAGTAGAAGGCCTAAAGGCAGTCACCAACCCAACAAGCCTGCAAGAGAAGAATAGTGAGTACTCCTACAACCCCTGGACTGGAATACAGGGAGAGGGCATTTGGGTTGGGAAACCTAACTGGTCCCCAACTGGACTGTGCTTCAATGCTCCAGACTCTGGATCCACTTTGTACAGGGATTCCTCCAGACAGAAGGAGCTTCTGGGATCTGGGGTGGCTAGCTCTCAAGAAGAGGATTTTGTTGTTAGTTTAGGAAGTTGTCCCCGGTTTCTCAGTTCCATTGGACATCCCGTATACCCCTTAACCCATCTCAGTTCTAAATCCCCTAATAAAACTTCAAAAAAAGCTCAAGGACTGGTCACCAACTCCAGAATGCAAGTCTATGTGGAAATGCGTGTTGTTGCCTGGCTGTGCAGGACTATAGGGGGACCCAAAACTTCCGCCACTCCTAAGGGGTTAGTGCTACATAGATTACGTGAGAAAAAAGTGGAGAATTTCTGTTCTTGTAGCTGAAGGACTTTGTCAGGACAAGCAGCAGTGACTTTCCCTGACTTCTCAGATCAATTTTAGTTATTCAATATAAATACAATGTATCTCTTTTGGGTCAGCTTCAGTTTCAACCACATTTTTTTTTTCAGGTTTAAATGTAACGGAACCCGCCATTATCTTCACCTACATAGAGGGGGATCAGTATCTGCGCTGCCTGAGCTCCGGGGTGTTTCGGCATCTGAAGGTCAGCTGGTACGATATACAGAACACAGACCTATCAAAGAACGCCACCAGAAACGTTACAGATCTTGGAGACGGGAGGCAGATGGTGGAATCCGTACTGACCATGGATGCGATGCCAAACCAAGCCTACTTCTGTCAGATCCAAGAAGGGAGACTGAGGAGAACCGTCCGCGCTCTGATCTCTGGTAGGAATTTGAGATGAACCTTGTCTTGGATAGTCTTGGATAAGAGGGAACGTGGCCTTTTGGTCAGGTTCTCCCCCATCTCATGGGTTCTCCCCCTTGGGGGGAGCTCCACCTAGTACTTGAGTAGTCCTTGGTCCCCCGAAGAAAGGGGTCTGCCCAGTTTTGGCTGGGTGGACCATGTGTACCCCAGTCCCTATCAGGACCCTTGCGCCTTGGGGGATCATGGCCAGGGACCTTTCTCTTTCTTTGTGAAGCATTTGTACACCCTGTGCACTTTTTTGTGTTTTTTTTTTCTTTTAGTGTGCTCACCTTTTTGGGGTTTTTTTGGACCTTGGAGCTTCCAAAAAAAAAAAGAAAAAACTCAGTTGGGTGCAGGGAGGAAAAGGAACTGGAGGGACCTGGAGTTTGATGTTGAAGGAAAACTCAAGACCAGAAATGTCTATTTGGGATGGATTGGGGAAGTGCACTGTGGGGAAATCTCCCTTGCAGGGATATGGAGAGCAATGAAAATCTGCTGAGGATGTAACCCCTTCTCCCGAGGTTGGACTGGCAGCCGGCTACCAGTGCGCACACTTGCTCCAGTACACAAAGGACGTGCGTTTAGCACCCTGGGATGGGAGGAGTTGGAGAGATGGTCCATGCGTTGCTGGCCGGTAGTTGTTTCTTTTTCCAATGTGTGATTTCAGCTGTCAAGGTTGTTCTTTGTGTTGCAGATGGAAGCACACCGATCGTTTCTCCAAACTCTTCACAGCTCCGCCGCCTGGATCTCAGCCTGGAAGATGATCCCCGCGCTCCTCGCCTGCACCGCCGTCAGGATTGTGTGATCATCGGACACAAGAACATTTCACATCGTCTGCAGGAATTCATTGTATTTCCACAATGGCAGACATCTTATATTATTATTATTATTATACAGGATTTATGGCGCCAACAGTTTGCTCAGCGCTTTACTATATAAGGGGGGCAGTACAGCACCAATACAGATCAATACAAGAGGGATAGGAGGGCCCTGATCCTGGGAGCTTACAATCTAAGAGGGAGGGGCTGGTGGTACAGGATATCATCTCCTTCATATTGGTTACATGTCTCCATTCACGTAGCACAACCGAAAAACTTCAAAACTGCAGCTGATGATCTTTTGTGGAACTTCCAGCAAGGAAAAATTCGACTTATTTCTCTTTGTTATGGGGGCGGCTGGGAAGCTGTGCTGGAAGGGCCGGATCTAGCCTATCTGGTTTGGGGGTGCAGTAATAAAAAGTCAGGGGGCACAATGCCTACACTCTGTGTGAGTCACTGAGATTCTGTCACATATTGTCATGACCTGGGAAACACTAATATGTATCAGGCTGACACAGAACCGGTCCTCCTTATTGCAGATGTCCTATCAGAGTCCCTCTTTAAATTAGGTGTCCCCATCAGACTACCCCATTACATCAGGTGTCCCCATCAGAGAATCCCCCTTACATCAGGTGTCCCCATCAGAGTATCTCCTTACATCAGATGTCCCCATCAGAGTGCCCCCTTACATCAGGTGTCTCCATCAAAGTGCCCCCTTACATCAGGTGTCCCCATCAGAGTGCCCCCATCAGAGTGCCCCCTTACATCAGGTGTCCCCATCAGAGGGCCCCCTTACATCAGGTGTCCCCATCAGAGTTCCCCCTTACATCAGGTGTCCAATCAGAGTACCCCCATACATCAGGTGTCCCATCAGAGTGCCCCCATACATCAGGTGTCCCCTTCAGAGTGCCCTATTACATCAGGTGTCCCATCAGAGTGCCCCCTTACATCAGGTGTCCCCATCAGATTGCACCCTTATATCAGGTGTCCCATCAGAGTGCCCCCTTACATCAGGTGTCTCCATCAGAGTACCCCCTTACATCAGGGTGTCCCCATCAGAGTGCCCCTTTACATCAGGTGTCCCCATCAGAGTGCTCCCCATACATCAGATGTCCCCATCAGAGTGCCTCCATACATCAGGTGTCCCCATCAGAATGCACCCTTATATCAGGTGTCCCATCAGAGTCCCCATCAGAGTGCCCCCTTATATCAGTTGTCCCATCAGAGTCCCCATCAGAGTGCCCCCTTACGTCTGGTGTCTCCATCAGAGTACCCCCTTACATCAGGTGTCCCCATCAGAGTGCCCCCATACATCAGGTGTCCCCATCAGAGTGCCCCCCATACATCAGGTGTCCCCATCAGAGTGCTCCCCTTATATGGATTGTACACATCTTTGTGCCTCTTTACATCAACTGTCTGCATCAGACTGGCTCAAGGATTAGTGGATGCATTCTCAGAGATCTGGGGGGGGGGGGCACAGTTAAAATAAGGGTGGGCACAGCCCACCCCAGCACCTCCCTAGATCCAGCCCTGTGTGCTTGCCTATTTTTTTGTGTGGGATCACTGTGCTGCTTTTAGTGTATCCCTCTAGTACATGTATTACTAAATGGTGGACCACGGTCCGGATCCAGACAGAGTCACTGTCCCATCCAGACCGCTGCAGGAGCCAGTTCTTCCTCCCAGCTTCCCAGCCTCCACCACCGCTGTCGTTCTCACAGCAGAGCGGAGAATGGAAGCACAGCTCTAGACAGAGGGTGGGAGCTAGTTAACCAGCAGGTGATTGGTTGCTAGGGTGCAGGGCGGTCCTACCAACCAATCACCAGCTTGTTGATATGAAATGTTAACTGCCTCTCTGCACTGTGTACCCAAGTAAGGTAGGAGAGTGAAGGGGGCAGAGGACATGGTGAGGGGTAATGTGAAGGGGAAGAGAAGGACACCACTGTGGGGGGAGGAGTAATGTGGAGAGGTGCGGAGGGGTGATGTGAAGGGGGAGAAAAGGAAAGGGAACATCGCTGTGGTGGGGTGATGTGAAGGGTTTAAGATGACACTGCTGTGGGTGGGGGGGGGGTGACGTAAAAGGGGGCAGAGTATACCACTGTGGGTGGGGGTGATGTAAAGGGGGACAGAATACACTGCTGTGGGTGGAGGGTGATGTAAAGGGGGACAGAGGACACCGCTGTGGGTAGGGGTGAGGTAAAGGGGGACAGAGGACACCACTGTGGGTGGGGGTGAGGTAAAGGGGGACAGAGGACACCGCTGTGGGTGGGGGTTGATGTAAAGGGGGACAGAGGACACTGCTGTGGGTGGGGGGTGAGGTAAAAGGGGACACAGGACACTGCTGTGGGGGTGATGTAAAGGGGGACAGAGAACACCGCTGTGGGTGGAGGGTGATGTAAAGGGGGACAGAGGACACTGATGTGGGTGGGGCTGAGGTAAAGGGGGACAGAGGACACCGCTGTGGGTGGGGGTTAGGTAAAGGGGGACAGAGGACACTGCTGTGGGTGGGGGTGAGGTAAAGGGGGACAGAGGACACTGCTGTGGGTGGGGGTGAGGTAAAGGGGGACAGAGGACACCACTGTGGGTGGGGGTGAGGTAAAGGGGGACAGAGGACACCGCTGTGGGTGGGGGAGTGATGTGAAAGGGGGACAGAGGACACTGCTTTGGGTGGGGATGATGTAAAGGGGGACAGAGGACATCGTTG